GACAACACCTCCACAGCGACACACCGTGACAACACCTCCACAGCGACACACTTCTTCCAACAAGGCCACACCTCCCAATAGTGCCAATCCCTTTGGGGGCCATTTGCTTTTAAATCACCACACCCTTCAACAGACAAATACAGAAAAATACGATACATACAGACAAAGGTGTTATAAGGTCATTAAGCAGAATTAAATTCTGCTATTTGCAGTGAAATGTATGGAAATGGAACTGGAAAATATCATGCTAAGAGAAAAAACACAGAAAGACAAGGACTGAGTGTTTCTTCTCACATGCAGACCTAGAGACTTACTGAAGGTAGATTTAAAAGAGCTGGAAAGAGTGGGGAGCAAGGACAAAAGGTTGGTTTTGATCACAGCATGCACTGTGCATGTAGAGAAACAGTAGTGAGTTCGTACACAAAATTACTGCGTGCTAATGACAATTTAAAGCTTACATTATAATAAAAAGTGGTTTTAAAATGAGCCTCGGTAGAGCTCGAGAACACAGACTTGATTTTTCTTCAATGCCCTTCAGTTTAACAATGCGGAGTACTCACGACAGGGAGGAACTCTGCTAGATGCTGCGTGCTCAGAAACGACTTTAACAGCTGGGGACAAAATCGAATGTGAGCAATTATTGGCTGGGAGTCGAGCTTTGGCTTTCTCACATCTAAAATGACAGTTACGACGGTGGCAGACTGAGCCAGTCCTGTGGGAAGTGTTAATTGAGGCCAGTAACACTCTTCATTACTTCAAGCCACACCAGCAGACTGAGAGAAAGATCGATTTGTGCAATTCCACAACAGTTAGGGTAACGTAAGGGTAAGAGCCACGATTTTTCTGTTTAGCTTGCAGGATTTTCATAGGATTTTGCTTCTTAACTTGAGAATCCCATACTCTTCCACAGTGCTAGGAGTTGAGGCCAGGGCGTGCTGTGAGCACTTCAGCGCTGGGCTGCATGTCTAGCCTTCTTCTTTGAGACTCTTAATGCTGCGGCGAATCTCTCGGCTCCACCGCTCTACTTCGGAATAGACGTTTTCTCTTGAGTGAAAATGTCAATCTCCTTTCTTGCTTTTCAAATAAAAGCGCCTGAAAGTGCTTTGTTCAGCCTTTGTATTGTAAGTTGGACACCTGTACCAATCACTTAGAAAGAACAAATTAGTTTAGATTCTATTAATATCACTGCAATAGAAATTTTACAAATGTGTGTGCACACGTGTGTGTGGTCCACATGTACATGTCAGGGACAAGCTACAGGAGTTTCTTCCTTCTACCACGTGGGTCTGTGACTCAATTCAGGTTGTCACATTTGGCAACAGGTACCTTTACCAACTGAATTATCTCCCTGACCTCCTCAGTAGGGAATTTTTCAAAGGAGAATTTAAGAATTAATTTGTATGTGAAACATTTAATGTATGATAGAAAAAAAAATCAAGGTTCAATACTGGAAGTTAAGAGGAAAGCTTGCTTTTTAGACGGGGTCCTGTAGCCTCATGCAACACAGGCTGGTCTTGAATTCACCAGGTATTTGAAGCTGGCCTTGAAATTCCGATGTTCCCGCCCCTACCTCCAAAGTACTGGAATTACAAGCATGAACTATCATACTTGGCAGCTTTATTATTATTTTTTAAATGTGAGAGTCTAGCATCATTCATAAACTTTGAATATCTTCTTTGAAAAGAAAAGATTAAAAACTAAGGTCTAGATTCAACATGATTGGCAGCAGACTAGGAAGCTAATCCCACCCCCTCTCACAGCAGTATTTCACCTGAATGAAGAACTAACACAGACAGAATTTCCAAAGTATTTTATTCAAAATTCCCCATCTAGGAGAGAGGATATATAACAGTGTTTACACATGCTTCAATAACTTATTTCACTGTACAACTTACATTCTCTGTAACAACACAGTAAACCCGTGAAAGAAAACCATGAGCACTTAAATAAGACTCCTGTGTGCAGCAGTGAGTGCGGGACACTAAATGGTGGGATCTATACACTTCACCACAACTGAGTGGCTTGGAGTTCATAAGCCAGCCTGGTCAGTGTGCGTTTAAAAATTGAGATGTCTACACTTTTCTGACTTGTAATGTCAAAACCACTCTGACCTTTCAGAGTAGAACTTTTTTTTTCTTGATGAATTTGGTGGGTGGGGAAAGGACTCTATTGCCATCCCTTTTGTAAAAAATAAATATATTCTCCCTTTTACGTTAAGTCCACAGTTTTCAATAAGATATGTATTTGTGTTTATTCTAACGTCTATGCTAACACTGCTTGAGCACAGTGCTCTGCTAATCAGCATTTCACAGCCAGCAAGATGGTCAAACATTACAGGAACAAAAAGAGACCACTGAGTTTGCCATAATAGCACCTAGAAAAATAGCACTGGGGTCAAATTTCTCCTCTGCTCTTGTGGTGCAGGCAACATGGCAAAAACCACAGAATACAGACGGAAAACGGAAGGAACAAGGAGAGAAGCTTTCCTGATCTCGAGGGAAGATCTTACAGCAAACGCATTCTCTGACGGATTTTACAGGGACTCCTAAGCCAGGCACATGGTAGACTGTGCACAGGGTGGTCAGATGGAGACAACTGAGCAGTGAAATCTGACCCTCTGCCAAGAAATTATATTTCTAAGACTGGGAAAGGCACAGGAGGTGCACATTTTAATTTGGCTCAAAAATAATGAAAATTAACTTTAAACTGTTGGCAACAGTTACAAAACCAAAATGTCACTTCCTTTGACAGAATTACAACAATAAACCAACAAAAAGCACACCACGGTTCACGATAGTCGGTGAGCACACATGACTGTGTGACATTTCTCTACAGACTACATCTGAAGGACTAAGTCTATGAAAGAAGGTCTAATACTGGATTTCACTCAAAGCTCTGCTTTATCAACGCCTTCTTCCAAAACTAACCTGTAGTCAAGCTAAGCTCCTCTCTGTGGAACTGAAAACTTCCAAGGCTCTAATTTTCAGTTGTTGCAGAAGCATGTAATCCTACACATGAGGGGACACTGAGGGACAGAAAGTCAACTTGCACTGTGTCTGTAAAAGTTAACGAGGGTTTCACTGTGATACACGTAAACCACGAGTCACAAGTTTCAAAAACAACAGCAGTTATATCAAGTTTATACCCTATCATTCATATCTTTAACAGACAGCAATAGTATTTAGGATAACCGTAAACATAAGTCCCTAAGAGAGTACATCTATTCTAGGAAAAGAGACATTCACTGTAACGCTGCACCTAACGCCCCTGTGCAGACCTCTGGTGACAAGTGTAGTGTAACCATCCCCAGAGCGGGACCCTGGAGGAAGGGGTGTTCACACATCTGAGCTACCGCAATGGCAAGCCTGGCTGTGATGAGACAGACACGGCAAACCACAAGCTTAAAAAGTCATTAGAACATCACGTTCTTGTACACTAGTGTAGAAAGGTCTCCCAAAGATGAACGAGTGCAGGCCTGGCTTCATTTTCTCTGCTAGAGCCATTATTATGTTAAGATCGCCCTCTGCTGTTAAATCAAGATCGATCTTCAGATTCCGAAGAGACTTAAAGGGCTTTTTCCCCTTCTGCCTATAAATAAAACAAAACAAACAAACAAAGAAAGAAACCATACATTATAATACAGACATTGCTCAAAGGGAATGAGACAGAAACCCACAGCGCATAAAGGTTTTCTCCAGAGGAGCCGACTCACGTGTCGTCCTCGATGTACTTGATTAGGGTCAAGGCTTTCCTGTGGAGAACAAGCAGGAACTGCGCAAGGAAGGTGCTCCTGAGAGACAGGCCAGGCTTCAGGTGGAAGACCTGCAGGGACACGACGACGCTGACAGGATCTGACACCCATCACCCAGGACAACCACTTCTTCCGATTCCCAAAGGGCAGGACTGTGGCAGTGGCAATGGTCTGGAAACACTGACAGTTGTCAAGATTTCCAATTTCACTGCTCACAACGCACTGAGATTTTGCATTCTACACCAAAATATATCCTTATTTTATTATGAGAAATCCTTATGTGAATTGTTTTGGGTTGTGTGAAGTGAGGATGAGGGGAATTTCATTTCCGCTTCAGGAACGTGAAATTGCTCGACTAAGGATTATCCTCTAACTCTGCACTGACCCACGTCACACAGACCCGGAAGGAGACCTAGCCCTAGTTAACATGAGGATCTCATTATCTAAAGCCAGGTCTGGGATACAGGGCCTTGGCCTGGCTCCCAGAATGGTATTATGACAAAGCTCTAGTTACAGTTAGAAACAAGTCCCATACAGTCATCCCCCTTTCCAAATGTGTAACTCAGCAGAACATTTTAGAACTGAGACAACAGAGATGCTACGATTTAAACACAAGTATACTAAGCTTTGATAACATTTTCAATTTAATTAAGGCAAATAAAAGCACACCCCTCTTCAATGAAAAACTCCTGGAAGGTATTGATGGGACAGTACTTAAAACAATTACTGGGATGGGGAATGTTAATATATAGGCTATTTCCCATTAATAATTCAAAGAGAACTTGATCTACAGACTTCAGAAAGGGCTATAAACACTTTAATTCTTTGGATCTTTGTATGTATTTTTTAGGCAAGGTGGGACTTAATTTAAACATAAAGAAAACATGCAATGTCACTTTCTCTGGCCATGGCTGGTGTCATGTTTACCTGATCCAGGAAGGCTTTCACTAGAGTATCTCTGTGTAAGACATCTTGGAAAATATTCCTAAGAAGAAAACAGTCCAAACATTAAATGGTTACACAGAGTCAAAAAATTAACGTTTCATAAACAGATATGTAAGAATACAAATGTGAATATTTGGAATGTATACTTAGCTTGCATGAGGCCCTGGGCTTAATATTCAGTGCACACAAAATGAACACATACACACTGATCCATTTTAACTCAAGGGAACATCTGTATATTACTGGTGGTTTTTTCTAGCCAGCATAAGCTGAGTATACCCCAGGAAGTGCACATGCCTATCTGTCAATGAGTTTTAGAACCCATACCTTACAAACTGGGCTTATGTCAAGAGACTTGATACTGGTAAATATGAACCAGCAACCCAGTAAGTTACTACTGCAGCAATGGCTGGTGTGTAAAGTCCAGACAAAATGGCCAGTTGAAGTGAGCTGTGTCACCACAATCAGAGCAGACGCCAACAGAGACGGTAGTTTTTTCTCAGACCCCCATTTCCTCTCATTGTTTCTCTTCCATTTTCCCTAGGCCACTGTGTTCATGTCAGAGTGAAAGTATAGCGTTCATTATGGCAGGATGGATGAAAAGCAAGACTGAGACAGTAGAGATCATAATACGTCTAGATAGGAAGAGAGAGGAGGAGGGGAAGACGCAGAAGTACATGGAAAGTAACGCAGGTTTCTTAGTCTTACAAGTGAACCAAGCTAGAGAGAGAAACCAAAAAGGGGGAACCAGCATTTCACGGCAGCACTGGGCACCAACAGCACCATCACTGGGCTTCATGGACAGGTTAGGGCTCTGGTCCCCATTTTCCAATTTCTGTTTTACTGAATAAAAATCTGGGATCACAAAAGAGCTGGAAAAGCAAAAGCTATCTCCAGGGCAAACACATATTTTAATTTATCTTTAGTGAATGCTTTTATCTTAAAAAGGTTAAAACTAAAAATTAATCAATTAGGGAGGTAGCTCAGGGGTACAGCAATTAACTGTGCAGCATGTCTGAATCCCTGAATTTGAACCAAACCTTCCAGACTTAAAAGTGAATATTATTTAAAGCATGCTAATACTAACATGAGTCCATATTAATAGAAATTAAAATATAATTACTTGGTTGGAAATATTTTTGACAATTTTATATTCAAAACATTTACTTGGAACTGGAAATAAAATTCTAAAATTCTTGACACTGTTTTGTGATGCTAGAATAGCTGACCAACTGCTTTTGTCATATCTGCCAAACATTCAAAAACAAAAACACGAACAGGGCGCAGATCTATTTACGTCCACATTTTTTCTGAGAAAAGATTCTAAGCAATCAACTAAAATAACAAAAACAAAACCAAAACAAAACAAAAAGAAACCCCAGGACCTCAGGCCCATTAGTTATGAGGAAGACGCTGGCATGTAGACTCAGTGAGAAGAATTGCACGTTTTCCAAGACTGCCAGTATATGAAATAGTGAAAGGGAATTTCAATCTGACCAGGTCCTTTTCTGAAGCAATTCCTCTCAACATTTCTAAGCAACTTCAAAGAGCACAGGAGAGCTGTGCAAAAAGGGCTCTTCTACATGCTAGGACCTCTGGGCATCACACTCTCTTCTACATGCTAGGACCTCTGGGCATCGTGCTCTCTTCTACATGCTAGGACCTCTGGGTATCACACTCTCTTCTACATGCTAGGACCTCTGGGTATCATGCTCTCTTCTACATGCTAGGACCTCTGGGCATCACACTCTCTTCTACATGCTAGGACCTCTGAGCATCATACTCTCTTCTATGCAGTTTACTTGACTACTGGTGTGTCCCATGTTTCTTCTTTTGGCTCTGTTTTCTTCTTCACAAGATACACCCATTTGCTCCAAATTTACTGTTGCCTAAAACCCTTCAACCTACATAATCACAGTTAACATATTTTGAGTATATTCTAAGGACTATCCTGATTTTAAGCACTTCACTGATTCAAGAGAACAGAAATATCATATTGCAATTCTTTTTCAGGCTTTAGAACATCATTTAAATGCTTTCTTGAAGTTTTGAAATTCAAGATCATAATTTTTCTCATAATCAATAATTATTTCCTTTACTTTGCTGACCACATTTTCTGGTAAGAAGTAAATAGCAAAATGTACAAAGCAAAGGAAATAAGTGGTTTTTTTTTAATATATCAGCTGTTTTTTCTAGGTTTTATATTCATATCTAAGAAAAAAGGCTTAGAATTACTGCAGCTTAGCATACAAGAATGTTCAATGATCATTATACACTAAATTACCAGCAGCAGGGGCTGCCATTTTCTGACTGATAATTCTTACCCCAGGACTTCACTAAGTAGGAGCTCAGTATATATTTACCAAGTATTTATTTTTTGAGGAAATCTTAACTATATTACAGGAAATAATATTTGAGAAATAAAGATTTAAGCCAGGTATGGTGGTACACACCTTTAATCCTAGCACTGGGGAGGCAGAGGCAGATGAATATCTGTGAGATTGGGGCTAGCCTGGTCTATATAGTGAGTTCCAGGCCAGTTCCTGTGAGTTCTCAGTGGGCCATACAGGACTCCGCAGTGAGACTGTCTAAAATAATAATAAAAATTTAAAAATAAAGCAAAGGTGGCTGATTAAATGCTTTCTTCAGGTTTCATTATGCTTGTCACATGTCTTTCCTTTTAAATACAACTTGCATTGTTTTTAGCCATAAATGACAAAAAGTTTATGTTGTTTGACAATGACATCCAAGGCCAAGTGTCACTTACAAATCCGGGGTGAAGCTCTCATCCGTGTAGATGATGGTGTCCTGAGCCATGTCCTCTTCTGAAGTTGCCCTCCAGAAGGCTGTCAGCTCTGATCTCATGTATCTGCGCTGATTATAAATATGTTCGTGACACGGTGGCATCTGCTTGACAGTATTGACATCCACATCAATATGTGTGGTTGGATACGGGGCATACATAACTTGCCGGAAGGGTAGTACAAAGCTTCCCGTTGCATCCTGTCGAAAGGAAGATAAAGCTTACTGGCCGCATGCCAAATGAGAAGCCATTTTAAAAATAAGGTAATGATAATGGAGATGCATACCCCTGCATATCTGGTATAAAGCCCTCTCAGAAATAACCTTCAAGAGGTTACTATATAAAAACTCCAGTCACTACAGTTTGTGCTTACAGTGAAAGAAGTATACAGTGCACCATTTAAAAAGTGGGTCAGAACATGCCAAGTTTAACCCAACAGCAGAGCATGGCACAGAATACACACAGAAGAAAACGGCTCCAAAGACCAGTGCCAGTCATGAACGGTGATTACTTGCTGGTCTGCAAAATTAGGACTGTCTTTCTTTCTCAATTGTTTTATCCTTTCTGTATCTAAATGAATATGTATATAAATGGGTAAAATACTTGCCCCTTTCTAGCTGGCCGGGCAGCCAGTTACCATGTAACATAACCGCTACGTATGTGGTATCGTGCTAAGTGGTGTGAACAGAACAGAAGACAGAGACCGCCTACGCCTCTCACTCTGAAAGGGCTAGAATAGTGACTGTCTATCACGGTGTCTCTGGAAAGCTCTACAGCTCAGCTTTGCTTGGCGAGCGCTCAGTGTGTCACTCAGTCACAGCCCTGCATTCTGGGCATCCGGTGCAGGGCTCTGTCAGAGGTTACAGTATTTAACTGAACAGGGGTACCTCGTTGTGCCTTTATAGAGAATTAGTAAAACTGGGATTTGTAAAGTTTTCTTCAGTTCTGAGCTCAGGCAGGTGCATGGTTTGAAACCCCAAAGCTGATTTTCATTTTGGGGGTGAAACTGGAGATTGAAGTCAGGACCTTCAACTTTCTAAATCAGGAGTTCTCAACCTTTGGGGGTTGGGATCCTTTCACAGGGGTCACGTATCAGATATCTTGCATATCAGATATTTACATTATGATTCATAACAGTAGCAAAATATAGTTACAAAGTAGCAATGAAAATAATTTTATGATGGGGGGGTCACCACAACATGAGAAACTGTGTTAAAGTTTCAGCATTAGGAAGGCTGAGAACTACTCACTAGTCTAAGTAAACTCCACCACATCAGTGAACTGTATCTTCAATCCCCAAAAGCTAAATTTTTACTTGTAAGAATTCAGTCCTTTAAAATATTTTTTAATTCTGCAGGCATACAGTAATATGATACCAAAATTAACCAGACCCAAAGTCTATATAAATCATGACACAGTAAGAATAGGCATTTGGAACAGCTGTGAAGCCTCTTGTTAAACTCCACCCTTTTAGGATCAAATGTATTAAAAAAATCCATGACAGAATTAAAACTAGAAAAATTAGCTTTATAGTATCTTTCATAACTTGTGTTTATTACATGCACCCAGTCCTTTCTCATCCTCTTTATATGTTATATTTAATTTTTAAATAAATATAATCCTAACACTCAGGAAGTTGAAGCAGGTGGATTACTGTGAGTTTAAGGTTAGTCTAATTTTACACCAACTTGACATAAGCTAGAGTTATTGAGGGGTTGAGTCAACAGAGAAAATGCCTCCGTAATACTGGGCTATAGGCAAGCCTGTAGGGTTTTTTTTTTTTTTTAAAAAGAGATCCTGAGGTAGGGCCCAGGGTCCCTGCCCTGCCAGAGCTCCTATCCTGACTTCCTTTGGTGATGAACACGGAAGTATAAGCTTGGTGCGGGAGAATTGTCTGTATTCTGTCACTCATGTTTTAAATAAACGCTGATTGGTCAGGCAGGAGCTGTAGGCGGGAAAAACAGACAGGAAGTGGAAATGATACAAGGAGAGCAGGAGAATTCTGGGGAGGAGGAAGTTGATTCCTCCCACTCCTGCCCAGATCACTGAAGCAGCAGGATGTGAGCTGCCCCACTGAAAAAGGTACTGAGCCACATGGCTAACATAGATCAGAAAAATGGGTTAATCAAGATGTGAGAGTTAGCCAGTAAGAAGCCTGACCTAATGGGCCAATCAGCTTTATAACTTACGCTGTGTGTGATTTTCTCTAGTACTAAACAGCTGGGGGGCCGGGCAGGACAGAAAACCCCAACAAACAAGCAGGCCCCCGCCCATGTTACATAAGCTAAGTAAGTTCATTCCTCCAAGTGGCTTTGGTCATGGTGTTTCCTCACAGCAGTAGCAACCCTACCTAGGGCAGAAATTGGTACCAGGAAGTCACAATTACAGGGCCAATTAAGTGGCACCAGCCTGAAGGGCTGGGGCAGGGTTCCCTATAAGGTGGGAGATGCTTTGAATTAGTGTCCGATATATGGTACAGTTTCTCCCATTAGTGAGGATCCATGGGTCCAGGAAACAAGGGATAGAAAAGAGAGTATTTCCATCCACTATCACCCCCAGTGACCCACTAGGAAATTTTTTGCTTCCTATTTCTGTGACCTGGAGTTCTGTTGGCCTAGAAGTTTTGGTTACTGAGGGAGTGCTCCTGCCAGGAGACACAAAGAACACTCCACGGAGCTGGAAGCCAGATTTTTCAGGACCACTTTGGGCTTCTAATGCCGTTAAGTCATCAGGCTGAGGAAGAAATAACAGTGCTAGGAGGGTGATTGATCCAGATTAGCAGAGAAATTGGATTGCTTCTCCACAACAGTGGTAAGAAGGGTTATGTCTGGGGTGCAGCAGGTCTTCCAGCGTGGCTCTTGGTGCTACCGCGTCCTGTGATTGAAGCTAATCCAGGCAGGATGCTTTCCTTCCTCCACGTCTTTATAATGTCATATAACACCAATGCAGAGAATATCAATGGTTTTCATATTTAAGTTTGAGACACTATCTGATTGTATGTGGGATGGATATATCATGTTTAGGTTGCTATGACCTGGTTATTGTTTTAATATGGAAATTAATCATGACATATGACCTCCTTAGATATGACTGTGTGTCAAGTTGACAAAGGGTGAACTTGTGATGGCTACTTCTGGTTGTTAATTTGATTACATCTGGAACTAAAATCCAAAAATGGAGGCATACCTGTGGGGTATTTTTGCTTAACTTGAAGTAACTTCTAATCCGAATCTTTGAAGTAGGAGGATATGCCTTTAATTCAGATCATTTGAGCTACGAAAACACATGCCATTTAAAACCATTTAAAAATTTAATTCCTCCCCCAAATTAATACCATTTAATTAATGTTCCTTGAAAATGTCAGTTTATTTAGGGTACCTGCAACAATACTGATTTTTTTTTCCATTTTGCTATGCTTACATCCTCAAGAACAAGTATAAAAGAACCATGCAGTGATCATGGAAAGCTATTTCTTTCTGGCTTTGTGTGTATGTGTGTGTGTGTGTGTGTGTGTGTGTGTGTGTGTGTTTGTATACACATATATCTATGGATAGAAGCATGGTACACATTCATGTGTATATGAATGTTTACGGGTGTTGAGTATACATGTGAATGCACATACACACGTATGCTTGTATGACTGCATGTGGAAAATTGAGGTGGATGTCTGGAATTTTCTTTGATTGCTCTTACACCTTATTCTTTCTTGAGGTAGGGTCTTTCAATCAAATCCAGAGCTTGCTGGAAAAACAATTATTTCTACTTAATTACTGAAAAAAATACTAATTTATATTTATCTGTTTTCCTTCTTGAAAATGAACCAAATTTAACACAAAAATTAAAACTGTAAGTACTAGAAACAGACATTTTGTATAAGTTTTAAAAGACATTTTAATTTTTAAAAATGAGTAAGTATGGTACATACCCAAATCTCCTCAGTAAGCAAAAGAAACATTACCATTTCAGAGGTTCAGTCTGATCCAAGCATGTACTAAAAAAGAAAATACTGAGGCCAGACAAATAGCTAGAGGGAACCAAGTGAAATGGAAATACTATCCCTGGGGCTTCACGGATGACACTAACTACAGAACCAAGGACGTACACTCCATGCTCAGAACTATCCAAAGAAACCCGTCCCCAGACAGCAAAAACTATGGTACATTAAATGCTAACAACATGCCTTACAAAGATTCTCAGTAATTATTCTTAACATTCACTTTTACTTGGGGCTTCGCATGTGATAAGGAACGGCAAGCGTACCTTTAGCAGGCCTTGGACAAAGAGTCCCGATTCGTACTTAAAGGAAGAGTCTGCTTCACATAGTCTGGAACATTTTCTCTCCGCTGGAGTCAGAAAAAGGCACAACGTTCTCACTATCTAGAGAAGAAAACATTTGGCGTTGCAATGTGAAGTTAAAAGACCACTGTTTGTTTATGGAAGAAACCTTAATAGAAATTTTTGTTGCTGGCACTAAAACAGTTCCCAAGTAAGGAGCATCCCTTGGTTACTTGAACGGCATGGTCAGAACACATACTGCTTACAGAGGGATTCTGTGGCCAGTTAAGTTTAGGAAGTAGTTGGTAAACCAACTGCATCTCAGAACTTGCTACATTTGAATAAATATGGTTGTTCTCTAAGTGAGCAATATCCATTTATAAATTTATTTATATCAAATTGATTTGACCATGGAACCTTTATCTCAGTGAGAAATAACAACTTAATACATTAATTGACTTCATCTCTACCCATCAACAACCGCTTTTCAAGTGAGCAAAGAGCTCTGGGAAAATCATTCCGTGTGTTTAAATGAGGGCAGAAGCCTGTGAGGCAAGCAGACAAACTCGGTTACAATGAACAAGAGGGACTGTCCAAGCCTTCCACAGAAAGAGCTACTAAATTTCACTTGAAACAAGTACACGTGGTGGGGGTTCAGAAGTCGGGGACAGGAAGAAGAGCTGGCGTAGAGTTGTATTAGGGGACAGAGAAAGCCACGTAAATGTGACTATGTGGGACTCGGATCAAATCCAGAGACAGTTGGCAGGGGTTTTCAACCAGAATAGTGCAACTTGTCTCTCAAAACGAAAAGATGGAACACAAGCTATTCAACCTAAAAGAAGATAAAAGATGAAAAAAATCATTTAATAAATGAAGCCCAAACAAGCCTTTCTCCCTTCATAAAGCCAACCAAGATGCCTGCCCCATGGAACTTAAGGCTTCCAGCATCTCAAGTGGAAAGCTACTTTTGGGGTCACATGTAACAGCCCCAAATGCCTCGCTAAAATATAATGAGAGGTTTATTATTCTCTCATAAATGGTTGAATGAGAAACATAAATGTGGCAAATTAAACTTCATATAAGTATACAGGGTGGTTCACAAAAAAAAGGTAACTCTGTAAAGCAAATGCCATCTCTAACATATTTCCATGTGAAATTTTTTGAAAAAAAATGTTCATTACAATTGATATGAATATACATTTATGCATCTTTAGTGACTATAAAGATAGTTGCACACTTTTAGCACTATCCTTGAGGAAATATCTGATCACTTATTAGTTCTCCTCATATGTGTGTCTCTTTTAGGGAGCTACCCTGAAAGATACCCTAAAAAGGTAGACACGCCTACATCCAAGCTCACATCTCTCAGTTCAATGCTGCTCTTCCTATAACTTCCCTGTCAACAAGAAAATTGTCTCTGTGTTCCCCATTATGCCCACAGTAATAAACTCATGTATTTTGCACATCACCTCCAGAAGCTGAATGAATTATTTAACTTGCTCTTTTATATTATCTGCCTTTAGTTACTCTCAAATATTTGTTCTAAAGTTTATGTACTCACTCTCTACTTCCTGGTTCTATTTACCAATACAGTTTCCTAGTTGCTCACATACCCTGTACCACATGGTTTAGTAGGTAAAGTCATATAGGAATACAAAACTAGATATTGAAAACTATCTCATTTAAAGGCCAGGCAAGGTAGTGCAGACTCTAATCTCAGTTTGTGGGAAGAAGAGGCAAGTGGATTGTGGGGAGTTTGAGACTAGCCTGGCCTACAGCCCAGACTATACAGTGAGACCCTATCGCAAAAAGCAACAAAACATAAACAAAAATAAACAAAAAACTCATTTAAAGGTTTTTTTTTCTCAAAACAATTTATGGTGCAACTGAGAGTGATGAATCATCAAAATTAAAGTGGTAACTGAATTCTTACATATTTTACCATAGTCATTTTTGCTGGAAGTATCAGAGTAATTTGGTAAAATTATATTGCCTCCTTATACTATGAGACTATTTCAATTGCAACCTAATTCTTAAATGATAATTCATGACATGCTGGTAGTATTAAGTCTGATCTCATTAGAACTACAAAAGGAGTTACCTTATTTACTTTCTCTGCACTGCTGCCTACGACGACAGAGCAGCCACAGGTCTGCAGATGGGAGCTGATGGCACTGCAGGTTAATGAAAACATTGGCAGGATTACAACTTCACAAGGAGAAAAATCAGTGAGCTTCCAATAGCACAGAATAGCTTTACCTGACAAACACCAAAGCTATTAGCATGATGTTATCTTTTATTTGTGCAAAACTGCATTTTCTAGGGGCCTTTCACAGACATTGTATTACCTGAATCTTAAGACAACCCAGGGCTGGAGAGCACTTGCTGCTCTTGCAGAGAAGATCCAGCACCAAATGGTGACTCACAACTATCTATTTCCAAGAAACCCAACGCCTTCATAGTACCAGGCACAGGCACACATGTGTTCATACATATATGCAGGTACTCATGCACATAAAATTAAATAAATTTTAAAGAAAAAGATACCCCTGTTGGTAAAGCCATCATTTTATAGCAATTTCTTTAAAGACATATTTGAAAACAATATATGAATGGCCCACACCAGCAAACTCTGTAGTGCTTCCAGTTCAAGCCGTTAAGACCTTTTCTACTAAAGATGCTCACACCAAGCATTTCATTGTGAGCTTAAAGAAAGAGAATGTAGATCTAGAGGTAAATACTTATTTCAAAAAATACTTAATCACTTCTCATTTTTACAAACAAAGCTGGTGACAATCTGCAACTTGTGCAGCAAGGAGATCACAACAGGCGATGGGGCACACGTGCCGAACACTCACTACTGCAGATGAACACACAGGTGCTCAGTAAGTATGGGCTGTTCCGCCTTCCACCCATTGCAGAGCAAATACAAACAGAAAGCAGTAGCTATGGTTACGGAGGGGCTGATGTGCCTGGCACTGTCCTAAGCACTTTCTGTGATTTGCCTCATTCAGTGCTCACAAGGAACCTATATAACATCTGTTATTGGCAGGCGGTGGTGGTGCACACCTTTGGTCCCAGCACTCAGGAGGCAGAGGCAGGCGGATCTCTGTGAGTTTGAGGTCAGCCTGGTCTACAGAGCAAGATATAGAGAAAACTTATCCAGGAAAACAAACAAAACAAAAAACTAGACAAAAAAAAATAGCTGCTATCACTGTATCACTGAGGTACAGCTTTGGGTAGCTTCACCAAGCTGACCCAGTTGTAAGCCCCACAGTTGTAACTAGTCTGGTTTGAGAGTTCATGCACTTTAAGTACTAAATTCCACAGTTAGATAAAAAATACCAGTCCAAAATATGAATAATTTCTATTTCTAGATCTAGAAAATTCACAAAAACTTATGATGCAACTCAATTTGATAGCTTTCTATGGCTTATTATTATTATTTTAATGAGAATTACAAGAAGAAACCAGACCCAAACAACGGGTCAGCGCTTCTCCGGGTACTATGGGAACTCAGCCTTGTTGGACTGCGGAAACGGTCACATCAGAGACGTCACTACTGCATGAGTGAACACAGTACACACGTGAGCAACAGTTCAAATGTGCACTGCTTTCTCTAAATAATCGGAGTAATAGGGATTCTATTCATTTTTTCCATTAAATCTCACCATGGGCGAGATTTTTATCTCCTTTACTAAGCATTCAGAAAAAGAAGTAAAGTTCTTACTTGAGCAGAAAGCCTTCATGACAGCTGTCACCAATGTCGTCGTCATTGAGCACTGTATCGGCTATCTAAAAGGCACATACGCACAATCAGTCTGATCACAGCAGGGTGAGGGAACTCGTGGGAGTAAGTGTGCTGACGTCTAGCGTTGACACAACACAGCACTCTCATTATGAGCATCAAGAACACCTATAAAACGGTGCTGTGCACGTACTTTTCAGAAGAACAAAGGGGAAAGTTGGCCAGGCAGGTTAAACAACAATTTTTACAACGTGCCCCTCTATCAGAATCAGGAGGCCAAGCTCAAGGACAAGTCAGCATTACGAAGGGTGTCGGAAGACAGCTGCACATGAGATATCCCCAACACGCGATTAAAGAAACTGGTGAGTGAGGAGCTGGGGAGATGGCTCAAGTGCTTAAGAGCACAGGCTGTTCTTCCAGAGGACCTGAGTTCAATTCCCAGCACACACGTGGGAGCTCACAACTGTCTGTAACTCGTGTCTTGGGGATCTGACGCCTCTTCTGGCCTCCGGGGCACTGTATGCAAATAGCACACAGGCACACATGTAGGGAAAACACCCAAGCACATAAAAAATAAAAAAAGAAATTAGAGAATGAGGGACCCCCTCACAGCTTAATAGGTTCACTTCTCTGTCCAAAAGCACTGTATTTAATACCAGTTCCTTCTAGAAAAGCCTGGAATTTCCCCCTCTTCTAGGAAATACAAAAGTGGAGAAGAAGTAAAACAAACTAAGTTTAATTTATCAGAACTTGATTGAGTAAAAAAGCCTGTTTGGTCAGAAAATCCAGCATTTTATGTACGCTTACTAGACTGAAGGTGATACATCATGTGAACAGTAGTACAACAAAAGTTACATTATTAAAACAAGAAACAGCACATACACACACAGACACATGCACACACAGACACACACACGCGAACACACACAAACACACGCACACAGAGACACACACATGCGCACACACACACGCGTGCACACACACACAAACACACACGCGCTTGCGCGCGCACGCGCACATACACCACTCAATCCATAAAGGGCACAGATAGACGCCAACGGCGGTTACATCTATTTCCTCGGGAACACTGTGTGACTTCATAGACGCGAGCAGCTCCATCACAGGGACGACCTCCCCAGTGAGCATGGGAATGACACTCTGACCCTGCATCAGACAACAAAGTGAAAGAAATCACAGTGTGGGTGAGCCAGGCAGTGAAACTGTTTCAAAGGGATGCAGAGAGTAAAATACCCTCCGAGGGAAGTGCTCAGCACAGCCCCAGACAGGCTACCACCCCAGAAACAACTGTCAGGTATTTTCAGGCTCTTTAAACTTATTTTCCTTTTTTCAGGACTAATTTCCTTTGGTGAGTGTGAGCTATTATTTACTATCGTAGGCAACGGTTAAACGACAGTGCCACAATTAGAAATGGCCTCCTTTGGAATTTAACTAAGACATAAAAGCTCTTGGGGAACGCCATCATTACATTTCCCTTTTAAAAAGTGAGAAAACTCAGGCATGAAAAGATGTTGAATCATTAGAAAGGAACCAGGAAGGCGCCTCTCAATATCCAACCTTCACATTCAATGACATGATCCACTCAAATGCATACGAAGTTACCATGTAGAGCAAGACTCAGTAAGACAGAGATCTCCGTGGAGAGCTGGCAGAGAGTGTTGCCATTCGCTGCGTCTCTGAAACACCACTTTAAAATTTATATTTTCTGGCAACCAGTTTGCGGCATAACTGTCGCGTGTGAAACAGGAATGACACCACTTAGTTGTCACCATCTCTCCATCAGCCTATGATCACCTAAATGAGATGCTGAAACCGTTTGTCAAGTGTCTGTCCGTCTCAGCTAAACATATTTTAAAATTATTAACCACTTATATTTACTTCAGTAAGTTTTCTGCATTACTCAGGTTTCATGAAATGATTATTTAAACCCCTCACATATATTTTAAAGATAGAACCTCAAACTGAGGGCTGAGGTTGGTAAACCACTTAGTTAAGGCAGAACAGCTGCCTGGCATGGATGAGGCGCTAGGTTTAACCCTCAACACACAAACAAAAATGCACTTTCAAATTCCCTTATCAAGGAAGGCACTTAATTCCTTTGGAAAATTATCCTAATCTATAAATGTCTATGTAGATATAGACAGTTTTATTATTTCAAAAAAATTTATCTTATAGTAACCCCCAGAATAAACTACTCATGGTTTCTGTTTTTTAGAGTAATTGCTGAAACGTCTGCTTACAAACACAATTAAGACAAGGTACTCAACACTGTATGCTAAACTTCCTTCCCTGTCCAGTGACTTTGTCAGGGGACGGGTAGAAGGACCCTGAGCCGACGAGGGCTGAAGTTGTTTCTGAGCCACCGGAAGCTGCAGCACAACTCCTAACAGAGCTGCTGCGAGCACATTACGTCAGCTGCTCAAACAGAAAGCAGAAAGGGGAAGTTTTATCTCCCCTTGGGCTCAGGCATACACAGCACTTCAGATGTGGCCTGTCGGACATTCACTGTCACCGTGAGTGAATGAACAGTCTCACTGGACTGCAAGAAAAAAAACCCTTACAGGACAAATGCGGAAGAAACCAGCTCCCTGTGCTTCTCTAACTTGAACTTCTGCAGGACAATGTTTCCATTTAAAAATCTCTTTAGTTTACTCTCTGTGTACTTTCCTCCCATGGAAGGTGAGCATATTTTTTAAGTAGAACCCTAGGAGCAGAAACTCAACCTAGTAAGTACAGAACTCTGGCTTTCAAAAACAGAATCCCATAAAAATGCAAAATTTTATTTGGTTCTAAATTTCCTATGTTGAAATGACTCTCCCTAATTAGTTCAGAAATACAGTCAGAGGTTGGTGAAAGTAACTTTATTCTTGAAGACCCTGCTAACTGATCAGTAAGCAAGTAAAGATTAGACTTTTAATCCTTTAGTGTCATGTCTTGTCCCAGAATATTTCTTTCTTTTTTTCTTTTTCTTTTCTTTTTTTTTTTTTTTTGTTTTTGAGAAAGGGTTTCTCTTGTAGCCCTGGCTGCCCTGGAATTTGCTTTGTGGAAAGTTGGCTTTGACCTCAGAGATTCACTTGCCTCTGCCTCTCAAGTGCTGGGACACTACTGTCTGGCCCCTGAAAAGTTATTATTTACCATTCACAATAGTATAACACATAATTTTGTAAAGGTCATGTGTATATGTATCTCTGTGTGTTGCTAGGTGTGGTGGTTTGAACAGGAATGGCCTCCATAGTAGAGTCATATTGGAATGCTTGCTCCATAGGGAGTGGCACTCTTAGGAGGTGTGGCCTTCTGGAGTAAGTGTAGTCTTGGTGGAGGAAGTGTGTCACTGTGGAGGTGGGCTTTGAGGTCTCATATATGCTCAAGCCACGCCCAGTGTGGCACAGTCTCCTGATACCTGCTGATCAAAGAGCATGGTAGTGGCACACACCTTTAATCCCAGCATTCAGGAGGGGGAGGCAGGCGGGTCTCTGAGTTCGAGGCCAGCTTGATCTACAGAGTGAGGTCCAGAATATCCAGTGATAGGCAGAGAAACCCTGTCTGGAAAAAACAACAACAACAAAAAATATGTACAACTCTTTGCCTGCATGCCACTGTCATAATGGACTATGTAAGCCAGTCCCAATTAAATGTTTTCCTTTATAAGAACTGCTGAGGTCACGGTGTCTCTTCACAGCAACAGAAACCCTAACTGAGACACAAGGGATCCAACTGACATGCCATAGAGGACAGGTAAATATTCTACTACCATATTCTCAAACCCTCAGAAAAACTGTGAAACAATTACTTTTTTCAAGTGCCATTCTGTTTTAGTTAAGCTAAGGAAAATGAGACAAAAGGCCACGAGCCATGTTTAAAGACTGGAGTTCTAGAAGGAGAAATAATGACAGTGGGTGGCCTGCCAGGGTGATGGGAAGAAGTAGCCCTTTCCCGCTGGGGATTCCCCTCCCGACACCCCTTCAGAGGAACTTGTCTGCCCCACATGGATAAGGTCTGCAGTGAACTTCTACCCGGAAAGGCATTTCATCACAATCATGTTTTTAAAACTCCACTGTCGGTTCCCTACGGTCATTCAGAGTCACAGAATAAACATAGCATTCCCCAGAGTCAGGGTTACTGGAAGCCTGCATGGTAGGAGGATAGAGGATATTACCAGCAAGTTACAACAATAAAACAAACAACGCTACTAGGGAATACATACAAATAGTCTGAGTTTTAAAACGGAGAAATAAGCCTTTAAAGAAAACTGCCCGCAGCTGGGTCTGCACCCCTAGACAGACACCTCAGACGTATGCTCACTCCCTTCACATAGCTTCTTCTGTGAACACAGCTGCAGACACCTTTTCAAACTTGAATGTGCACAGGGCTTGCACAGATCTGGACCTGATGGGGTCCCAGTGTGAGGGGAAGTGGATGTAAGGCCACACCTCTAACCCAGAGACTATCTCCAATTGATAACTGCTCAGGAACGAAAATTCACTTTCTCCAAAGTTTCACTGGGCATACAAATCAGTCTAAAGCCAGGCCCCATGCCCAGCAGCAGATGGCCAGCACAAAACAAAGTCAGTGGCATTTTTGGAAGTTCTCTACTCGCAATGCCATATCAGGGCTTTCCCCCCCTTTATTACATATTATGGTTTCCAGTTTTGTGTTTTTAGTGGGATTTCTGTGTGTTTGTGTCTATATGTGATTCTTGAGCTTTTCCTTTTGTTCTTTTTTTCTTCTATTTATTTGTCTTATCCTATTCTGGTTAGTTTTCATTTTACCTAATTTACTTTATTATTATTATTTTAGAGACCTATTTATATCTGAATGAGAGAGAGAAGGAATGGGTATGGATCTGGGTGGGCTGACAAGTGGGGAAGGTTCTGGGAGGAGTTGATGGAGGGGAAACAATAAGCAGAATAGATTATATTTTTAAAAATCTATTTTCAATAACTAACTAACTAAATAAATCTCATGTATTTTCTTACTTTTACTATGAGTAAATGATCCCAAACTTATTCTGGCAGATTGAAAAAGAGTAGTCAAATACTTATTTATAGAAATAATTATCTTTTTTTTTAAATTCAAGTATTTAGATTTAGGCTGCAGAAATTTTATCCAGTTCATCCTATACAGCTTCACAAGACTTATTCACTTCCAGCCTCCCTCTGTCAAGGGAACACATCTTCAGCTCCTTGATGGAGGACCCACCCGCTTCCTACAGATGTGCGCAGAGTGGAGATGCCATGGCAGCATGTACAGTGCACTCTACCTGGTCTTCCATTCTTTCTGTGCCTTCCAACACAATTTTCTGGACATTTTCTTGTCTTTCCTAAGAAAAAGAAAATCTACTTTAACAAATCCATTTTGATGCTTGTTTATTTCTCAATGTAGATATGCTGTCATGTGTATTTCACAGGGAAATCCTTTCTACTGCAGGTGGGGGGAAAAGATGGCAATGAGAAACTATCCCAATGAGTTCACGCTCTCATACACAACATAAAATATAACCAAAGCATCTTTTATCCTACAGTAAAGAGATCAGATAATCTGGCAGAGAAGAGTCCACATAACACCTGCAGCTTCAAAAGAAAACAATTACACACGATTCAAATCGAACGAGATCGACTTGCATCTGAGGAACAGAGGAATGGCTGTTTCAGTTTTGTGTGTTTCTGGGACTGAATCTCACGAGGTAGACCAGGCTGGCAATGGACTCCAGACCTCTTGCCTGAGTCTTGAGCCCTGCGGTTACTTACCTGTGTTACTACCTGCAGCTAAGCTTCAATCTGAATGACTTTCATTAAGTATGTCAGAAACAAGGAAGTGGGTCTATAGCAGGGGTAGAGAAAACCAGTCTTAAAAAATGCTATTTCCCCTTCTAATAGGTTAGTGCTCTTATAAAATTAGTCACGCTTTCATGGACGTTCAGGATGGTATTAAACCGGAAAATAGGAAGGAGAATTAAGCTTTTTCTTCAGACATGCCAGAAATACACAGCAATGCAAATATCGAGAAAAAATAAGATTTCCTTTAGCTAAAATTGCAAATTGAAAGAAATAATTCCCTAGAGTCCATTTGGTCTATGCTCAGTTTAACAAAACTGGGAACTTGGGAAAGCAGCTTTGCTACAAAAGGCTGTGCAGCTGACAGCCTAGAAACACCTTTGAACGTTGATGCTTTCACACAGTTGTAGGGAAAAGACAGTCACACAAGAAAAGGGAAACAAACAGGATTTAGAGTAAAAGTTTCCAAAACAAATTCGGACTAAATGTTAATCCCTCTGAGCCTTAGCTTTTTATTTGCGATGGAGAGCCACTATCACATCTCCTATTACTAACGTGAAGACCTTAGTCACGAGACCAGATCTCTCTGTATTCAGGAGACACAAAACAACCGCTACCGTCTGGTTTTAGCTGCATATATTTTTCAAAACGTAAATGTAAACAGACTAGAAAAGCACTTTCAATGCCCAGGTTACCATGAACACGTAACAAACCCTTACCTTGTGCATCCATATCCTTCCTTTCCGAATGATGTGTGTTAACCTGTCAACACACACTCTGTGGAGTGGGAGGTAGAAACTAAGCTCTGTCTGCGGAAGGATAATCGACAGTCCGTAAGTGCTCCGGTCTCCGTTCCAGTTGCCGTCAAAGATTAATGAAACAATAATCACTCCTTTCTCAGATAAGACAAAAAACTTTACGTCGATAGCCCCGCTCTCTGCATTTCGAAGAATTTCTCCATTTAGAGTGTGGTTGGCGAGAAAAGTTATTTCTCCATCACTGAGAAGTACCTGTTCTGTCTTTGGAGCCCAAATGTGTCTTACTCTAGGACCAAGAATGTTATCCCAGTAAGCAAAGGTAGCTGCCAGCAATGGGGATTCACCACGCAAAGCAATCTCTGTCTTGGCAACAGCGGGAGATGGTGGTGGGCAGATAGTCGACATCCCTGCATCCCAGCTCTCACATTCTCCAAATGCTCACAAAAGCTAAACAGGAACACACAAAAACAGTGATTAGGTTCAGCCATTTAACGATATCCATTGAAACCCCAGCTGACTTAGAAAAATGTTATAACTAAAATAAAGAACAATTCTTTATTATCTCCAAACACACAGCCTACATACAATTCGAATGACTGGATATTTAGTCCCTAAACCATTTCAACTAAAGAACCAAAGAGGAAGAGGAGGACCCTGCATAAGTGAAATGGAACCTTACTTGCAAACAGGTCCAGTTAGATCAAGATGGTCCACACTGGAGCAGAATGGGTTCTACTCCATGGCTGCTGGGCTTAAGAAGAGAGAGCGGGAAGGAGAGCGAGAGCTGAGAGCGGCAGAGGGAGAGGGAGAGGGACCAGCCAAAGCAAAGCAGGCCAGCTGCATGAAGGCAAAGGGCAGGAACTGGAATGTTGAGTCTGGAAGGCAAGAGTACTGTGGATTACCGGTCACCACTAGATGTGGAAGAAACAAGGGGTCTCCCTGAAGCCTTCAGAGGATCATGTTGCTGACAATCATTTAACACTGGCATTAAGCTTAGAGTTTATGGAACTATGAGACAACAAACCCCGGCTCTTTTGAGTCCCCTAGTTTGTATTTTTGCTATAGTGTTCTTAGAAAAGTAATTATAAACCATGACTGTAGAAATACCATAAAACAGCTAAAAAGACGGAAGATCAGAACAGCAGCAGCAGAGCAAACGGCTCTGTCACTGCCGATGAGCTCTGGCTACGAAGGGACGGAAGCCCAGTACTGCACTGACAATGACACCGACACAGGCAGACGAGCACACACAAAGACGTTAATTCAGGAGGCAGGAGAGCAATGTGAAGGGCTTCTAGGCGGTTAAACTAAGTCGTGAAAGTAGAGGAGTTTCAGTTATTCAGAACACAGAGAGCAGACAGACAGAAGCGCAAACCAGCTCACAGGTAAGCAGGAGCCAGGGTGCCACATATGGATCGTCTTTCAAACACATTGCTCTGGAAGAAGAAACTATATACTATCTGTGGTGTGGGAGAATTGTCTGTATTCTGTCAATCATATTTTAATAAAACGCTGATTGGCCAGGCAGGAAGTATAGGCGGGAAAACCAGACAGGAAGTAGAGGTGATGCAATGAGAACAGGAGAATTCTGGGAAGCAGGGAGGTTCCTCTGTCACTCCTGTGCAGACCACTGAAGAGGCAACATGTAAGCTGTCACACTGAGAAAGGTACTGAGCCATTATGGCTAACATAGATAATGATAATGGATTAATATAAGTTACAAGAACTAATAAGAAGCCTGACCTAATGGGCCAATCAGCTTTATAACTTATAGAGATCTCCATGTGATTTTCCTTGGGACTTGCTGGCTTGTTGGGGTACTGGGTGGGACAGAAACCCCAACAAGCTGGCCCTCATGCTACACTATCTGTACAAAATCAATCCATTCTTACAAGTACTCTAATTAAAGAAAGACATGTCATCAAAGATTTAAAATGGAGAAAACACTTATAACAAAATGGTCGGCTCTATATTTGGTAGCAGTACAGGAAAATCTATTGGGTGAACTGCGATAAGCCTATCTCTTTGCTTGTATGATTACTCTGGGAGTGAACATTTGATCTGTAAAAAACTGATGTTCATGTAAGTACGTTTACTTGAATGTTTACCTACTGGGCTGGGAAGATCGTTCAACAGTAACGGCGCCTGTATTCAGTCCCTAAAATCCATATGGCAGACGGGCACAACTAATCCCCATTCTCTGTTTCTTTCTCTCTCTTTCTTATCTACATTTTGTCAAGAGAGTTGAGAGTCTCATGCAAAGAAGAAACGTCTATATTTAGAATGCTGAGGGAGTGTTTTTTATCATATTACGATGAGGCATACAGAACTTGGAAGACCAGTTAAGGAGTCGTTTACTCAGAAGTTTTACATGTGCACTTTTAATTTCAGAAATTTGCAGAGGTACTACTTACTTTTTAATATATGTCAGTTTGACAGACTGAAGAGACTACATGCTACATAAGATTTAAGCTTGTTTAAAATATTGGCTATTTTGGCTACAATTGGAGAAGTTAGTTTCAATGAGGGAATAGAGAAATGTAATTTGAGTAGAAGCTGTAATGGTGCCCTTGTCCTCATTAACAGCAGCAAACTGACAAAGTAACTGAACACACAACCATAAGATGATATTGCAAATACACTTCCTTTCCATGCTTTCTTTTTGTTTGTTTAAAAAGGTGAATAATTCTAGGGCAGGCCCAAATGAGAATAATGTGCATAGAAAAAATTTCCTTGAAAAATGAGGACCTCAGTGTAACATACTCAGAAGAGGACCTTCCACGGTGCATAGCCTCTGCCCAAAGGCAATTCCTCTTGTAAAAGAATGTTTTGGAATTGGACACACATCTCAGTGGTAGAGCCCTTGCTTAGCACATGCAAGGCCCTGGGTCCCATCCCCAGCACCAAAGAAAGAAAACACTTCATGTTTAAACATGTCCCACAGAATGTATACTGTAGCAGAATTCAGGCAGAACTTCTGCAGCATTACTCGCAATGACGTTTTCAGAGATAAGGCCTTAAGAAATGTTAAAGTCCTATCATTATACTTTTTCATTAGTTCAGAAGTATTTTTATCTGTCTAAAGCAGCAGTTTTTCAACCTGTGGGCTTCAACCCCTTTGGGGGTCGCAGACCCTACATATCAGATATTTACATTATGATTCATAACAGCATCAAAATTACAGTTATGAAGCAGCAATGAAAATAATTTTATGGTTGGGGTAGGCACAACACAAGGAACTGTATTTAAGAGTCATGGTGTTAGGAAGGTTGGGAGCCACCGCTCTAAAGGAACCTCTTTTGAACCAAGCACTATCTGATACTTGGTCTAAACCTTTGCCTTGAAAAGTGTCTCCATCTTCTCCCCATATTAATATGCTAATTAAATCTACCTTCTTTTTAAAAAGGTGACTAATTCTAAATACAACAGTACAATTCAAATATTTCACCACTATACCGAAAAGATAAGCACTTTTTAAAGCAGTGTTGAGCCCCAGAGCATGATCTTAAAGAATTACGGAAAAACTTTTAACTTGATTGTAAATTAAACTATTATCAGCCATCAATTTTATTTAGCCTTATTCCTAGTCTAATTATACAGAAAGGATTAAGGATCAAGGATCAAGTTGGATTGTTTAGCTTCAAATGCAGCCTGCCCCAAAACAGTACTTGCCTCTTACCCCCAGGGGATGAGCATCTAAATTGCAGAGTACATACATGTGTGTACACACGCTGTCTTCTTCTTTACATTTTATTTGCTATAAGATGTAACCTACAAATTAGACACAAAAATATTATTAACAACAAAATATAACTTAACAATGCAGCAGAATACTAACGAACTATACGAATGTGGTCTCTTCTGAAATGCCTCATTAGATTCGCTCGCCTTCCCGTGGTGACACACAGTACATGATGTGAGGGGGATGGCACAGGCCTTTCGGTACCGCTGACCTTCTGATGTGTCAGGATATGATCTTGGATCACTGGGCTGTGACAACCCTGGTGGCTGGATGTCAAGAGGAGGAAATGGTTCAGAAGTTTCCACAGCTGAAAGGTCTTCTGTCCACCTCTTTGGGAAAAACACTGTATTCGGAAGCTGGTGTCTCTTTTAAACTCGCCCGTTTGCTGCTGCAGCCGTTACAGTCCTTCGGATGACTGTATGCTGACCTCCAGCCGAGCTCTGTGTTCTGTAGCTTTGTCCTTTAATGCCTTCGCGATCTTATACACGCCGTTTTCTTCACACAGGCTGTTTCAGCTTCTTCTTCCCCTTCTGCTGATTAGTAAATACGTTCTTCTAATTCCTCATTTGTGAAAACTTCCCAGTAGCCTTCAGCATTTCCAGACATCAAGCAGACTAGCAAAGCCGTCAGCAACTTGACTTGCAACTTCTCTGTTACATTCTGTTTCTCTAGTTTACATCCATCCTTGCATCAGTGCAGGCACCCTGTGAATGGCTTAGTGCCACTGACTTCCAGAGAACTTTATGATTGATTCATTTTAATTGTGTTTATTTACTAATGATGCACATTTATTCTTATTCGTATATTTATTGTTATCATTATTGTTACTATTATTATTATGTATACTTATTTAATTGTATGTTTTGCCTGCATGTGCTTGCCTGGGGCCTGTGGAGGTATCTGGGTTCTCTGCAAGAGCAGGGGCTCCTAACCACTGAGCCATCTCTTCAGCCCCTTCAGAACTGTGGCTGAACTTTTTGAACAAGCCTACTGCTTCAACACAGCGTGCTGTCAACAGCTAATCAGAACATGGCTTCCCTAGTATGTCTCCCACCCACACACTCAACTCTTTAAAAGATATTAAATATTTATCGTGCACTGTGGTTATCACGTCGTAAAATGAGTTCAACAGCAAGACCAGTGTATCCCTTCTCCACAATTTCCCAGAAGCTTCAATCTCACCATGGATTTCATAGCCTCCTCCCCCCATTTGTGGGGAGCACTTTCGCCTTAAGAGAGGCACTTCGTGGCTTCTCTTAGGCAAATCCAAATTACCAGTATCATTATCTCCTATGCCATGAAGCTATTATTAAGTAAAATAAGGGTTACATACAAGTGACCTGGGAACTAACATGTCTACTGAGCGACTAGGAAGCAGGTGGTGTATCCAGTGTTGATACAGTGAACACAGATATACAGGACAAAGGGATCAACCATGTCCTGGGCAGGACAGAGCAGGAGGTGCAAGATACCATCAGGCTGTTCAAAACAGCATGCTGCTTAGAACTTAGAAATTCTTTATTTCAAGAATGTAGTATTTTTGGACTGTAGTTGATTGTAAATGAAATCATAAAAAAAGGAGAAATTACTATAACCTAAAAAATGAAGTATTACGGAGAAGTAAAACTAGGGGAAGCTGTAAGTATGATTTTACTAACACTTGAAGTTAGCTTTGGCAAAAATCCATATACAACTGTGCAAAAAAATTCAGTTTAAATTTAAAATTTTTTTAAAAGACCACAGGGTCTTTTGAGGGAAGCTAGGATTCAAACTGAGTGAGATGGTGGCTTGCCACTTTATAAACAGAAGGCAGGGTTTACTAGGGCTTAACCAATACATCCAAAAGTAATACCAGCGTATTTATGGTAATAAGCACGTTAACACTGTTAGCAGACAGGCACATTTGAGCTTTTTCCTTCTTCAAACAGCTACCTTTTTGTAGGCTGCGTTTAGGAAGTTCTTTGCTTACTGCTACCGTGAAGGGAATTATCCCACCACAAGGCTCTCACTTCTGCTAACAGTGCTTTACTTCTCCCAGGAAAGAGAAGCGGGACCATCAACCAGCCTCCTTAGCCAAAGAGGAACTACCCAAGGCCTCTGTAAAGGCAGTGGACTACTTGGAAGACCAGCCTTTGTCATTCTTTACACGTTAATTTTCAATTTCAGTTCAGACTCACACGTTCACGACACGACTGCGCCACCCCTCCGAGCTGCTCAGGCAGACTAACCTAACACTGTGGAACTATTCAGTTAACATGGGGCTCTAGGGAAGGCTCAAAAGATAAAATCTTATTCACTCGTTCTCTAAAGACAAATATTGGATGGTCAACATAGCCACGTAGACTATGTTACCAACTTCTTAAGTTATATTGACATTGCTCTCCCGGAACATTAAATCCTTGCTGATCAGTACAACCTGTAGTGCGGTCTTTGTTCTCTTCATTTTGTGTGGGATGAAGTAAGAGCATGGTCACCTTGAGGCAGTTCCCAACTAATTCAGAGTTCTCCTGCAGTGCCAATGTTCCGCGAAGCGCTAGTGAGCAGTGTCTAGTCAGCTAGTTAACAGACAACACTAGTTCCTCCTGACCTACAGGTGATTTTCTGAAGTTTCAGTACCTGTAGTAAACTTTAATCCAGAAATAGTAATGCAAATTTCCGGAAGAATGTAGCTTGTAGGTTTCAAACGACACATCGTGCCATGCAGTGGGAGGAGATCGCGTGCTGGCTG